ATGTTACAAGTAGGAGGAAGGGGCTGTGATGTTCAGGCCTCGACCTCCTGGCGGCTTCGGATTACCGCACGACGCTCGGAGCGGGTGGGCTCCACCTCCGAAAGAGAAGTTTGATGCTTGGAGGGCCATGCTACGTCCCGCGCTTGTTTGAAGTTTAATGCTTTGGGCTACAGGTCAATGCATGTTTTGGGGTTTGAATGAAGGACTTCACACCTCACTGGCTGCAGTTGGCGTAAAACATGAATAGAAGCTGAAAGGCTTTGTTGTCAGCTTCGCGAAGAGCTGCAACAAGGAGTTGCAGCATGGGGAGACGATCGAAGCATTGCAATACTGGGATGGCTGCAATCCAGTTGTTCGTCCTTCTAGCCAAAGCATGGCAATCATACATGCAATCCCGGCTGGCTTTGGTCAGCTAGATACAGTTGCTAAAAACCCTTGGTGGCCTCTAGCGTTGTGGTGGGAGCGTAGGCAGGCCCAAAGCCAGCAAAGCCAGCAGACACAAGCACTGGCAGGAAAGGACCCATAGAGACGGAGAGCTAGCACTAGAGAAAGCCTGGGAAACAGCAGCAAAACTGGTCAGCAGAATGCGCTTTTTTTGACCAAACCTGCTAGGCCTTGAGCCACATCTGCAAGCAAAACCTGCTTGGACCGAGAAGTGCCTCCTAACTGCTTCACTGCATACACCCGCCTCTGGAGGGGGCTTCAACGATGCCCGGGATCCCACAGGCACGGTCGGGCGAGGCATGACGAGAGGCTGTCTGGTATGGGTAATTCAGGTGCCTCGCGATGACTAGGCAAGGTTCTGATAAAGCTAAGGAGCTATCAGAAAGCGTATCCAAGTAAAGCTGTGGGGATGAAGAGCTGTTGGGGCCCTAGGGCACTAGCCAACAGGACTGAGGGGTGGGATTGGAGCTTGGGGGGGAATGCGGGGCCAGCACTGCGGAATCTAAATTCGCCATTAGCTATGAGATGATCTTCCATCTGTGCTGCCATGGCCTACCCCTGTCAGCCAAGCCCACCAAACAAGGCATCAGAACATGGAGTCGAGGTTGCTCCGTGGTTCGGTGGTATCAGACAATCGGGATTCCCAACCCATTTGCAGCGCACAACCATTTATTAGCGCAAAAAATGTTACATGATGTTTCTTTGGTTGCGCGCCTCCTGCCAGCATTCCTGAGACACAGCTCGATCTTAAGAAAACTCTTCTGCTCCCACTCTCTTCTATGCTACTCGACGTTGTACACGTTCATTCACAAGACACTGACCAACATTCGGGAAGTCTGCAAATGCTTACTTACTTGTTGTTAATGGGAATCGAGGATGGATTTCCTTTGTAGAGCCTGGAGAATCAATCCCCGATGGTGTAGTAGTATGTACAACCTTACACCCTGAATTTTAAGCAGCTTCCATGCTCTTTTGCAATCCTACATTCCCAACCAAAAACCAACACGTTTATGAGAAAGGCGCAGTGAAGCTCCGAGTCCAGAGGGCCGGGCGGCTTTGAAGCCAGATGCCAGCTTGCCTGCCATTCGAGCAATCGGAGTCTCATACAGGCATACCGTTCAGCAGGATCATTGCAGGGGGGCCAAACCTACGACCTCCCAGAGTATTTTTCACTGTATGCTTTCTGGAAAGCAGGCCTGTGGCTCCAGAGAGCTCTGAATATAGCTCTTGCATCGTTTACTTGATGACATGTTCTCAGTGTGAATTCACACGGAGCCTGACTGTAACAGGAAAGGGCTTAGTTCACAAGCACTAGGGAGGAAAGGATAATGGCAACTGGGTCACAGACTACAGCCACTTGAACGGAACGAGACCGCAGTCCCACCTGCTGACGACATCTCACTGACTCATGGAAAATACCGCAGAGGGCAAAATCTGGCAGCGCACTTTGTCGCTGAGCTGTGAGCCCAGATATGGGTACAGTAGGCATATTACGAAACACCATTGTAGGACCCCCTTGAAACAGATCAGTATAGCTGGGCTCAAAACAGAAAGCTGCAGAGCGAGCTTTCGTGATTACCTAGTTGTCAATTTGTGTTGTTCGCCCACTCACAGCTCTAAATCCATAATCCACTCCGTGAACCCAGTTTCCATTTCATGCTCCATGTGTGTTTCCATTCGATTCTTTCGTCTTATAACTGAACATCGAAAATTTCGTTAGGATTTGTCGCTGTTGTTTCCTGCCACTGCAAGTCTTGCAGCTTTGTGGGCTCGAGGAAGTGTGGAAAATGTCCACCTTGATTTTGCAGTCTGCTGTTAGGCAGCGTTCTGTATAGGAATTTAAAGGATCTTCTGAAACTCAACCAGGCTTTCTGAAATCATGCCACCGTTTCAGTCTCCAATTTACAACGCTGCAGCACATCTCTTGGCAGATCATAGCAGATACCAAGGCAGTGAGTCAATGATTCCTAAAGATCTGACATGCCCCGGAGTTCACTTGGACATGTGTGCCCAAGAAGCTTTTCCTGGGGGCATTGGCTTGCGGAGCGCCGCTTCTCACGGCGGGTTTGGAGCCGGGCTTCGTGACGAACCCTGGCACATCCTGGAGGGCGCCGAAGGGCGGAAATCTGTATCAGTGCTGAAGCACCGAGGAGCGTGCTATACAGATGCTCAGATGCTGTACAATCTCCCAGCCCAGGCGCACGACGTGGCATGCTACAGGTCTGTACGCGCGCGCCTACTGAAAGATAGCTAGATTTTGCATGCTGGATGCTTTCGTGAAACAAGGCATCTTATGGCCGTCAGCAGCTTGTGGCTGTCAGTCATGTGCAGCCGCCACCAATGGCGGAGACTGCACGAAACGTTTACATGATGCAGAGGTGTTGGGCTTCGTGGCTTTGTATTCGCTGTTAACAAGGTGAGTCTTGAGCTCCAAATACTCTGAGTCCGATTAAGGCTGGAAAGTTTAACCCCTTTTCCATACAAGTGCCAACTACACCTCTGCATTTTAAGCCTAGAACCACGCCTTCCAGCCCGAGCTTCGAGCGGAGGCGTTGACGGCTTCAATACCAATACAGTGACTTTCCCTGGACCCCCTGGTACTACTGGTTCTTTCCTTCAGCAACAATCAGCCTTCCCATTTGAGGACCCTAGGCCACTGTGATTGAGTCACTGAACCTGTCGGAAGTCATCATGACGGGTTGCGACTCCTGAAGCTTGGAATGACGATAGCTTTGAAGTACCAAAACTTCCAAACCGTCCTGACAACTGCCTTGTCTACCTAGCAATTTCCATTTTATCTGCCATTATCACTACATAACCATAGTATATTGAGGTTGTATAGGGATAATGGAAGCTACTGTATGTTCCCCCAGCACTGTTCTCAGCGCTCAAGGAAGCCAAAGATCCTTCAGGGCGCATAACGAGCTGCCTCGGCCAGGACCTTGGAAATAGGTCTTGCGGCTTGCGACTCTGGTTGTGTACTGTGATAATAATGATAACTGCAATAATATTCCTACGAATAATTGTAATAGCAATAAGACTACTAATAACAAGTAAGAATAGTAGTAACTGTATTAATCGTAATAGTAATACTGTAGGGAAATCCCTCCAGTCCTCTAAAACAAGAAGCCATCGAACCTGAAGGTATATCCTGGGCTAAACTGTGCATGCAGGACCTTGCCAATGTAGCGCTCGCGGGCGATGAAGTCGGCCACGCGGTTGAGATCATCCTTTGGGACTTTTGCATGATGTGATAATTACCAAACACCGGGTTTGAGAAATAGTAGTAATATTAAAAGCAGCAACCGTAGTAATAATAAGAAATAACAAAAATACTAGTAAAATACCAAACACCGGGTTTGAGAACAGGAGTATGCCCTGCACCTACGAGGCAGTGCGGATTCGAATTGCGGCCAGTAGGTTGGCAGCATGTCGCGCTTATTTGAATCAATAGTTCCGTCAGCGTGGCAGGACCAGGGTATTGGTCATTCGATTGGTCATGATGTGAAGGAGCGGCAGCCGCCATTTCAACTTAAGGCTCATCCTTCTAGAATGAGGCGGGGCAACAAAGGATACGAGGAAAGGTCTACACGCGACTTTTATGGCGCTTCGGACAAATAGCTTGTTTCTGCGGGAGGTCATTTCGCAGGTTGAGCGCTGCTTGAGGTTCAAATATTCCATAAGAAGGCAACACGCAACTTCACTGGCAAATGCAAGATCATATCTGAAAGGTTTAAGTCTACATTCAACACCCATAGCCCCAGTTGCATTCCTCCTCGAATCTGGGTGCGTTTATCAATTGAGATGGATTCTCCTAGGAAGTGGATGCTAAACAAGGCAGCGGTTCAGGCAGACTTCTGGCACTCTCCCTTACATCACGGGCACATGCGCGACTTCTTACAGATCAGTGCCAAATCATCAGGTCCAATCTGCCCAGCACCCACCGTTCCAGGGTCTTTATCTCCAGAAGAGCAGCAAGTTGGGCGTTGTTCTGGTGTTGATCGTTCATTTCAGGCGATTGACCCAGCGGTTGAAATAGTACTCTTGATTTCAACCCCCGCTGGAACGGGAACTTGACTGTACCCACCCCTCAGGCAAATTCCTAGACACCTAAATTGCCAGCCCATACCGCCCTGACCTAAGCCGCAGCCGCCGCAGAAAGAAAAGCGGAACCTACAGAGCAAAGTTTGCCCTAATTCCTTAGTAGCCAACTGAAGTCGCCATCAGGTGCAGACCCAGGTGCAAAGGCGCTGACATTGCCGGTGACGTTGCACGAGGGATCTGGAGGGCCGCTGGCAGCTCCGACAGGCTTCATGCAGTCGGTGAGCCTCAGCTCTCAACTTGAAATGACGGAATGAGAAGCTACAAAGTCCTGTGTCCTTCTAAGATCTTCTAAGATGCGACAAAGTGTCATCATCTCATGAACCAAAACAAACACAGCCTTGCAATCCCGGGAGCAGGCCATAGGAGTGGCAATCGCGGACTGTGAGACAATCCCTTGGCTTGCTTCAAGGCTGACGCTGAGCATCTGGTCGACAAACTTTGTTGGCTGCTCGCTAGCTTGTGCCTGTAGCCCATTGGCTTCTGAGCTTGCCGCTGTACATCAAATCATATGCATCACCGTAGTGAGGATTAGGTAGTGGCAAAATGACATGATTGATGGCAGGAGAAATTAGAAGAATGATCGGCATCATGAAAGTTGGTTGTGTGGGAGGAGGAGGCGGAGGAGCGCATTTCAAGATGAAGCGCTGGAAGTAGGTGCAGGCAAGCAGCTCTCCGCAAACGTCCACACACTCACCCTCCCTTCGTATCCAGCTGGGCTCCAGCTGGGTGCCCTCCGTGTAATCCTCAGAACACATTGCGCCAACAAGAAGTTGTTGTGCGGAAAGCTTCCGGGAAAGCTTGAGCTGCAGAACCGTAAATCCATGGTTCTATTTTTAAGGGTCTCCCAACGGGATACCCGACATATACCTCACCTATATTCCTACAGAACCCCATGTACAATCACCGCACACGCATCGAAAACGCAGAAAAATTACCTGAATGTCAGCAGTCATGGTGCATTCCACGTGACTAGCTGGACGTACTCTGGTCGGTGCTGCCTGGCATTTCAAGCCACGGTGCGCTACTAGCATTGGGAGTGTGATCATGGTCCCAGGAAAGCATGAGATCCAGCAATCCAGCAGCTTTAATATGAATTTTGAAAAAACATGAGCCAGAAACCCTGTCCACAAGGTGACAACCTATGAACTGAATAGCTTGCCAACAATAGCGCATGGAATCACGGCCCCTGCCTGGCTCGATTTAAGGTGATGTCCAACTGTGTGACATTGGGCTCCTTCAGGCATTGCTATGCTTTAGAGGCCTCTAGTGGCATGCAGGATGTTGAAAATGATTCCTGCGGGAACAATGACTGAACGCCAACTAGCTGGGCTGTTTCAAATGCAGACTCGCGGTCCTTGAGAGTCTTGTCAAAGTAACAATCACGATAACCACGGAACGCTGAGCCAGAAGAGACAACAGGATGGTCTTGCTCATAGTACCTGCGACTGCGACTCTTCCAAAGGCACAGGAAACTCACGCTTGCATGGGAAATCAAGCTTCTGCATTTTGAGGCAGCACTGCCTCACCAAGTAGTCGTCCTGGACCCATGTGTATGTATCAGAGGCCCACTCAGGCGGATCAAACTCATATCGAGAAATGTAGATGGCGTTCACGGGGAGAGGCGTGAAGATTGTGAAGTTGTTGTTCCACATGGGAACGATTGGCAGCCCCTGGTGGCGGTAGTAGTGAGGCTCCTTCGTCCAGTTCGCAACCTTCTCTCCAACCATCGTCATGACATCCGGGAACGTGGCTGAATCAACCATGATGGCGAAACCCATGCCCCTGGCCTTGAGGCCAGCCACCAACCTATCTGTCACAGCTTCCCATGTGGGCATCCTCACTTCTGAAGGGCAACAGAAACGGCACAGAAGTATCTGAACAAGTTACAGCCTTCCTCAAAGCTCACATCAACAGGACAAACCCCGCAACAAGAACAACCACAATAAACTATTAATGTTGACTTCACCTTAAGAA